CCCTCTCCCCAGGGTCTTGCCTGTCGGCCGGTCTCCCTGACCCCAGCTCGCTTTCTCCCTCAGGCCCTGGTCATGGCCAAGGTGGGTGAGGAGGAGGCCTTCCGCCAGAAGCTGGCCTCCTCGGCGGCCAGGAGGAGGCAGCGTAAACACCCCATTGGCTGGCGGCTGGAGCAGGCGCATGGAGAGGAGAGCAGCGGCTCACCGGCGAGCGATGGAGAGTGGGCAGCAGATACCGGAGAGAGCGAGATGGGCCCCGCTTTCATCGGGCAGCCTCCGCACGAGCAAGAAGCCCCTGAGAAAGACAGCCTGGGGCAAAACAACACGGGCCCAATCTCCAAATTCGAGGGTAAGGACCCGGTGGGAGGGGGGGTCGGGATGTGGTCTTGTGGGGAGCGGGTTTGGTTGTTTTAATCATTTACGGGATGAGGGCATCGCTGACCAGGCAGCATTTATTGCCCATCCCTAATTGCCCAGAGGGCAGTTAAGAGTCAACCACATTAGCTGTGTGTCTGGAGTCACATGTAGGCCCAGACCAGAAGAGGATGGCAGTTTCCTTCCCTAAAGGACATTAGTGACCCAGGTGGGTCTTTCCTGACAACTGACAATGGATTCATTGTCATCATTAGATTATTAATTCCACATATTTATCGAATTCAAATTCCACTATCTGTCATGGCAGGATTCGAACTCGGATCCCCAGAACATTTTCCGGGTCTCTGGATTAACAGCCCAGCAATAATACCACTTAGACCATCGCCTCCCAACATGGGTCTTCACTGCCAATGCAGTAGACGGGCCGAAAGGCCTGTTTCTGTCCTGCCCTGCCAATGCGATGATGTAAGAGGGAGGCATTTGGCCTGTTGCCCCAGTGTTGTTGCGTCAATCGAGCTGTCCTGGTCTGAACTGCTCCGCCTAGCTCTCTCTCTCGCCAGAATCCTGCACAGTTTCCCTCCCTCTTCCCCCTGGAGTCCCTCTCTGCTGCATTCCGTGTTTCAAATGCTGATTTCCTTTACCCCCCCCCAACTTTTCTCTTTTGTAACATGAAGCTTTTCCCGGCGCTGCCTCACTAACTGATTGCTCTGCTCTGCTCTGTTTTCTCGCTTTGCCTGCCTACCTACCTGCCCTGGAATCCGCTGCGATCTCTGTCTCTTCACCTGCCGCCTCAGTCCCCAGCCCCGATTTTGGCTTCCCGGCCGATGAGCACCTGGAGGTGTATGTCTCCGCTTCGGAGAACCCGAGTCACTTCTGGATCCAGATCCTGGGCTCCCGGTGCCTCCAGCTCGATAACCTCACCTACGAGATGTCTCGGTATTACAGCAGCCTTCCCGGGACGGTGAGTGCAGGTGGTGTTGGCGATGGAGGAGGGGAAAGGTGATTGTGGAGGAAGAGTCCCCCCAGGAGAAAGGCTGAGGGGCTCGGGGGACGCGCCTGGGGTTTCTGACCTTCCAAAGTTGGGGGGTGCGCCATAATGTCCCGGAGGGTCCATTGGCAATCTCGTATGAAGTCGCCGTAGTCTCAGGGCAGACCTGCGCCGCCCCCCCACCCCGTTGGAGCAATGTGACAAGATGTGCCTTTAAGAGGGATTTGTTCTGTCCTGTTTCTCTCAAAACCGAGTATTGGCAGGAGGCGTGCTGCCTGCTCTGTGCTCAGCAGTATCACTGTTGTGTATTTTTGAAAGAAGCATGCACGGGAGAATCAAGGTCACACAGTCCCATAGTTTCCATTTTACAGGGCTTTACTTTCACTCGGTGATGTTATTTTTTAATCATTCACGGGATGAGGGCGTCGCTGGCTGGGCAGCATTTATTATCCCATCCCTAATTGTCCGGAGGGCAGATAAGAGTCAACCACATTGGCTGTGGATCACATGTAGGCCAGACCAGGTAAGGATGGCAGTTTCCTTCCCTAAAAGACACTAGTGAACCAGATGGGTTTTTCCAACAATTAACAATGGATTCATGGGCATCATTAGACTCTTAATTCCAGATGTTTGTTGAATTTAAATTCCACCATCTGCCCTGGCGGGATTGGAACCCGGGTCCCCAGAACATTAAATGGGTCTCCGGATTAACAGGCCAGCAATAATACCACTAGGCCATCACCACCTCTCCCCGGAGGACAGTAAAGAAGGTTGTCTCGGATTTGTTAATGCACCAGACCCCCTCAAAATATGTTACGAAGGTACACTAGGATATCCTTTTATTGTCATGTGTACTCCAGTGCAGAAGTGTAGAGCAAAGTTTTTACAACAGCTGCCTCTTCTGGCTCCATCTTAGCTACAGGTACAAATCATAGATACAAAACAGGAATACAATGAAAAGCAGTAGCATTACTTACAGTGTCTAAAAAGTAAGTTGGAAATAAAATCGTTACAACATAGTTAAAGGATTGACTTTACAGTCCGGTAAAGAATTTCAGAATGACGTTACATTGCCACAGCTCAGTGAGCATGTGGTCTGAAGGCCCGCATCAGGCCCCAGTCCAACAGCGGTCCTGCCGAAGGTAGCCTAGACCCTTACATTTTCTCACTTTTCCAGCGAACGTAAGGTGTCTGCTCCCGATGCAATGCGATTGGTCAAACTCCTCAACATTAAGCAAAACACAATTTATTTAAACTGGCAGTTAAAAATACAACCAAGGGAAGAGGAATATAGAATAACTACTCTGTTACCAGAATAACAGATGCAGTAACTATTTCTAATTTAACTGTTCCAATATGTTGACGTCCCATAAAAACTCCGCTTGGCAGAAGCAAAAGGAAAATTCAGACACACAGCCTCACATGCAGTTCTCCAATCCAGGAGGAAGAGAAAATTCAGAGGGAGTAGCAACTGGGAGACATTCAATGATGCTTCCGACTCTGTTGAGACCCCAATAGCTTCTGCTTAAAGCTAAAACCAAAAACTGAAAAAGAAATAGACTAGCAAGCCTGGCCTGTGAAAGGTGGCCACACCCAGGCTGCTTCCAGCTTTTTAAACATAACCCCTAGGCCTCTCAAGCTCTTTACTTTCTTAGAGACAGCTCATACCTCTGCATCATAACCTGTCTCCCAAAAGAGCAAGAAGAATATAACCTCTTGAAAGCCACAGCACTGTCACAGAGTACACCAGGACCTTGATCAGATGGGCCGAGGAGTGGCAGATGGAGTTTAATTTAGATAAATGTGAGGTGCAGCATTTTGGAAAGGCAAACCAGGGCAGGACTTATACACTTCATGGTAAGGTCCTGGAGAGTGTTGCCAAACAGAGGTGCAGGTACATAGTTCCTTGAAAGTGGAGTCGCAGGTAGACAGAGCAGTGAAAAAGGCGTTTGGTATTGGTTAGTGGTCAGTGCATTGAGTATAGGAGTTGGGAGGGTCACGTTGCAGCTGCATGGGACGTTGGTTAAACCACTTTTGGAATATTGTGTTCAAATCTGAAACAAAACCAGAAATTGCTGGAAAAGCTCAGCAGGTCTGGCAGCATCTGTGGAGAGAAATCAGAGTTAAAGCTGGGTCTGGTGACCCTTCATCAGAATAATTCTGGTCTCCCTGCTATAGGAAAGATGTTGTTAAACTTTAAAGGATGCAGAAAAGATTTACAAGGATGGTGCCAGGGTTGGAGGGTTGGAGCAATAGGGAGAGGCTGGGGCTATTTTCCCTGCACTGTCGGCGGCTGCGGGGTGACCTTCTAGAGGTTTATAAAATCATAAGGGGCATGGATAGGGTGAATAGCCAAGGTCTTTTCCCCAGGGGTAGGGGAGTCCAAAACTAGAGGGGTGTAGGCTTAAGGTGAGAGGGAAAAGATTTAAAAGAAACCTGAGGGGCAACTTTTTCACACAGAGGGTGGTGCGTGTATGGAACGAGCTGCCAGAGGAAGTGGTGGAGGCTGGTACAATGACAACATTTAAGAGGCACCTGGATGGGCATACGAACAGGGAGGGTTTAGAGGGATATGGGCCAAATGCAGGTAAGTGGGACTAGATTAATTTAGGAAATCTGGTCAGCACGGATGAGTTGGGCCAAAGAGTCATACAGCACGGAAACAGACCCTTCGGCCCAACCCTTCCATGCTGACCCAGATATCCTAAATTAATCTGGTCCCATTTGCCAGCATTTGGCCCCTATCCCCCTGTATGACTCTCTCAGCCAAGACTGTAATAAATAAACGCCTCCCTACTGCCAGGCCAAGGGAATGCTTTGCCTACCACTCAAATGCACAAAGTGGTATGTCAGTTTCAATGCCAGTGTGATCCCAGGTATGCCGCATGGGAACGGCATGGGGGGAATATAAGGTTTGCCGTGGAAGATTGGCAGCGATCATGCTGACCAGTGGGACCTTTGCTTTATGCTGCGCTCTGTCGGTTTCCGTCCCGCCCTCCGCCGCTGGCCTGACCCTGATTCTCTGCCGCTGATTCTCTGCAGGAGGAGTTTTCCCCGAAGCCTGGTGACATTGTGGCAGCCCCGTTCGCAGGCGACAGCTCCTGGTACCGGGCGCGGGTGCTGGGCTTCCTGGCGAGCGGTAATGCCGACCTCTACTACGTGGACTACGGGGACAACGGCGAGATTCCCATTGGGAAGCTGCAGCTCCTCAGGTCGGTCTGACGTTTCCCCCAAACACCCCCTCCTTTCCTCTCTCTCGCCTCCTCCCTACTTTCCACGCCGTACGCTCCCTGTTTCTCCCGGGAGTTAATCCCGCTGATTCCAGGCCCTGGGATATGTGGAAACCGAAAGAACTGCGGAGGCTGTAAATCGGAGACAAAGACGGAAATTACTGGAGAAACTCGGCAGGTCTGGCAGCATCTGTGAAGAGGAATCAGAGTTAACGTCCCGTGTCCGGTGACCCTAGCCCGGAGCTCAGTTTTGGTTGGCCCGGAGATATTGGGACTGTCAGTCCCAAAGATTTTCCAGCCACTGAGTGATGATATTCCTCCTCCTCCCCGTCTCAAATGGCCTGCCCCCTAACCTGAGGCTGTGTCCCCTCTCCCACCCCCAGCCAGAGACAGGTCATGCCTGCACCTGCCCTGCCAAGCCCTGTCTGAATTTTGTATGTTTGAGGAGTTGAAAGGTTGTGTTGCAGCTGTACATGACATTGGTTAGGCCACTTTTGAAATACTGTGTTCAATTATGGTCTCCCTGCTATAGGAGGGATGTCGTGAAACTTGAAAGGGTTCTGAAAAGATTTACAAGGATGTTGGAGGGTTTGAGCTGTCGGGAGAGGCTGATTGGTCTGGGGCTATTTTCCCTGCAGCGTCAGAGGCCGAGGGATTTATGTCCTTTTTAACCAGTTTTTAACCCAGGCCTGTATGTCCCTCTCTCAGTCCCCTGTGCTTTTACTTGTGTTCACTAACCTTTTCTGTCAGACTTTGTTGAAAAGCTTCCGAAAGTCTAAATAGACCACGTCCACTGGTTTCTTCCTTATCTATTTCGCAAGTGACAACCTCAAAACAACCCAACAAATGTGTGAGATAACAAGGTGTCGAGCTGGATGAACATAGCAGGTCAGGCAGCATCAGAAGAGCAGGAAAGGTGACGTTTCGGGTCTGGACCCTCCTTCAGAAAAAAAGGGCCTTTCTGAAGAAGGATCCAGACCCAAAATGTCAGCTTTCCTGCTCCTCTGATGCTGCTTGGCCTGCTGTGTTCATCCAGCTCTACACCTTATTATCTCAGATTCTCCAGCATTGGCGGTTCCTACTATTTCTCAACAAATGTGTGAAACTTGATTCCCCTCTCATCAAACCACACTGACTCTGCCCAGGGCTGCCATTGTTTTCGAACCGTCCTGTTATAATTTATTGTAGATTGTAACATTTTCCTTTGTTCTAATGCAATCCTACCTTTTACTAGCCACCGTGGGGAAAACTTTCTTTGCTGGGTTTTTGTGCACTGTAGGAGCGCACCTCTGTTGTCAGCTGTCTGTTGGTTCTATCAAAGTTGACCACTGTCTCTGTGCTGTCAAATCTCAAAAATACTTTTCCAATTCATTGTCACCAATTGCCCATCAGTTTCCTTCGTTCACATTTAAGAATTCTTTCATTTGCAAACTGAATATAAAGTATCATGGTCACTCTTTCCCAAAGGCTTTTTATCCTGAGTATAAAATATTATGGTCACTCTTTCCCAAAGGTTTTTTTTTAATCCTGAGTATAAAATATTATGGGCACTCTTTCCCAAAGGTTTTTTTTTATCCTGACTATAAAATATTATGGTCACTCTTTCCCGAAGGCTTTTTTGCCCTGAGTATTTACGGAAGGTTTTTTTTGCCCTGACTATAAAATATTATGGTCACTCTTCCCCAAAGCTTCCTTGTCATTTAGCACTTTTAAAATCCATAATACGAGATCTAAAGTTGCCCACGCCCTTGTTGGTTCCTCAACAAACTGCTTTTAAATCATCTCTCTCACATTGCAAGTACTCATCCTCCACAATGTTGCTACACACAGCGTAGAAGTCTATTGACAATCCTCCCCAGGATTACAGTCTTATCCTTCGAATGTGTACCTCCATTTTACTGGCTTATGTTGTGTTTTACATTGTCACTGCTGTCCGGTGGCCTAGAAACATCTCCCACCAGTGTTTTCTGCCCCCTGGGGCTTAATTGTGAGAAGATGTTCCCCCTCCTGGGAGATCCCAGGACCAGAGGGTATAGGCTTAGAATAAAAGGCAATTATTTTAAGACCAAGATGGATGAGGAAACCTTCCCCAGACTTTATAGCCCTCTCCATTTCTCGTTCTATGTCTGTTTGAACACGCTACCCCACCCCCAGCATGGTTCACATCCAGTGTCCCATGAATGAGGAGGCACACCAGCTCTCACGCTATCAGCAGCATTGTGGGTGCTGCATTACCAGAGGTGCCACCTTTCAAATGGTGAGGTGAGTAAATAGTGACTGTTTTTCCCCTTTTCCTGTCCTTGCCATCTCGCGTTCTTTCTCACACTCTCATTCTTAGAATGTAGATCAGTACAGCACGGGAACAGGCCTTCGGCCCACAATATTGTGCCAAACTTGATGCCAAATTCAACAAATCCCTTCTGCCTCCCCTTGGTCCATATCCCTCCATTCCTTGCATATCCATGTGCTATCACTCTCTCTCGCGCCCGCTCTCGCACACATGGCCTTCCCGCCTGTACTCACTCACGCTCTCTCTGTCTTATGTGGCCACTGTCCCATTCCACGTTGCCCCTTTTTCTCTCTCTATCTGTCTCCCCCCACCTTTCCCTCCCTCCCTCCCCCCCACCCCCACCCCTGTCGTTCGCCCTCCACCCCTCCCTCCCCTTCCACCTGTACTCCTCCTCAGCCTCCACATCTGCTCTCTCCTCCCCTCGCTCCACTGTTCCTCATACGCTGTCTCATCACCCCTCCCCACCCCTCTTCCCAAAAATTGAGCTCCTGCCCTTAGATGGGAGCAGCACGGTGCCTCAGTGGTTAGCACCGCTGCCTCATGGAGTCAGGGACCTGAGTTTGATTCCAGCCGCAGGTGACTCTGTGTGTGGAGTTTGCACATTCTCCCTGTGTCTGCATGGGTTTCCTCTGGGTGCTCCGGTTTCCTCCCACAGTCCAGAGGTGTGCAGGTTGGGGTGGATTGGCCGTGCTAACTTGCCCCGTAGTGCCCAGGGATGTGCAGGTTAGGGTGGATTGGCCGTGGGATATGTAGGGTTACAGGGATAGGGTGTGGTGGGTCTGGATGAAAAGTTCTTCAGAGGGTCGTTGTGGACCTGATGGCCCGAATGGCCTGCTCCCACACTGTAGGGCTTCTCGATTTCCCCCAGCAGCGCAGTAGCCTGACTCTAACGGTGCCTTGTGTTCTGTTTGCAGGAGTGATTTCTTGAGCCTCCCATTCCAGGCTGTGGAATGTTGCCTTGATGGAATTCAGCCCGTTCGTAAGTTTTAAATATCACCCACAGTCCAATGGGGCTGAATCAGTGTCTTTCAATATTCTACACAACCAACAGCATGCAATCAGGCCATTCAGCCCAACTGGTAACCCCCCCCTTTTCATCTCTCCCTCGTGTGTTTATCCAGCTTCGCTAACCACACCACTTCTGTGCATCATTCTTCCCCCCCCGCCCCACCCCCCCTGGGGGCGGGGCCCCCCATCCTCTCCCCCCACCCCCTGCCCCCCCCACTCCCCATTGCGCATGGGAGCAAGTCCCCCATTCTCCCCCCTTTCCCACCTTCCCAATGGAAATGCAGCCAGACTGGGACCACGAACAGAGGCACGTAATGACTGACCACCTGTAACAAGGGAGAATCTAACCATCGCCCCTTTGGTGTTCAATGGCATTACCATCACTGAATTCACACCACCCACCCTCTCCCCCGGCGGATGCCATCAGAGAGAATCTAACCACCCCTTTGACATTCAGTGGTGTTAGTATTATAAAAACAGTGGAGGAGGTGGTGGTGAGGTCTGCGGGGGGTGTGTGTGTGTGGGGTGGGTGGGGTCTGTGGGCTGGTTTTGTGTTGGGGGTGGAGAGGGGTCTGTGGGCTGGTTTTGTGTGTGGTGGGGAGAGAGGTCTGTGAGCTGGTTTTGTGTGTTGGGGGGGAGGGGTCTGTGGGCTGGTTTTGTGTGTGTGTGTGTTTGGGGGAGAGGGGTCTGTGGGCTGGTTTTGTGTGTGTGTTTGGGGGAGAGGGATCTGTGGGCTGGTT